GAATGTTATTAACCACTAATTCAAACCAAAAACCTGTCAAAGGATGAGATATAAATGACGTAAATGCCTGACACTAAGCAATATTTCGAGAAGTTAACAGCCTAATTGCAACCATGTAGCAGATAATATTTGTCCTTTTTATTACACTCTTGACATTTCTGATCCATCCACTTTGGGGATAGAAAACGGGGGTATAATTTTACTAACGGAAATCTTCAATCATGTCAGCGTCTGAAAGCAGACGCACAATAATAAGACCCTGACCAAGATGAAAAACGGGCTGGAAGACTGGAATTATTCAATGTCTGTTTGATAGAATACAAAGTATCAAATATCTATCATAATTAACTCTTCCAAAGTTATTCAATATTTATTAATTTTACTCGCTATATATAATCGAGTTAATGTGGCATGCTGGTATATCTAAAGGGATTTTATTAAGGGACAATCGACAAATTTCTGCCCATCGTCAATAATACTGAGAAGCGTTCTCCATTTATAACGAGGTATTTCACGCACCAGTGGACTTAATGTATGTGTCTTAACCTGTACGATCATGTACTAATTATGATGTAACATAAACATCTACATCGTGTCAAACTGTTTGTTGTGAAATGGTGTTAGCTTTTTTAATAGTTGAAAGAACATGAAAGCCATCTTATTTCATGTCATTATAATTAAATACCCATGCACAGATTTTACAGCAGAGGTAATTTCAAGGTTAAAGAAACATGGCTGCAATATCACCTGTTGTGGAAGCTAAAGACTGTCCCACGGGTCATTTTTTGCATTAGATTCTCCCCTTGCCCCCAAGAAAAACTTATCTGAATGCATATCAAACATTTGACTTTATTGTTTGAAATAACTGTGTATATTGTGTCCTGTCTTGTGTAAATTTTAATGTGTGGTTCAGTCTCCTGAACTTACTATCAAGAGAGAGAGAGAAATGGGGTTTAACGTCCACTCGACACAAACTAGGTCATTTCGAGACTAATTACTATCGAGAGAGAGACAGAGAGGAGGGGGGGGTACAACCTCCACTCAACACAATGTAGGTCATTTTTGGACTAACATATGATTCAATTTTATTTTAATAATTTGATAGTCATCATATAGTGACGATTCATTAAGATGCCTTTTTGTAGGGCTGTATATTGCAATACTGAACTTTGGCAATAGGTATCACAATCCAAATTTTGGTGTATCAAATTTGTGTATTTTACCCAAAACAAATTGCAAAAGAAACCAATGCAGTTTGGTTCAATCATACTTATTTTAGACAAGGCGAAATGACGTAATTAACATACATGTAATTCAATATGGCGGTCTCGAAGAAGTTTCAGGGGTTGATATGTTTAACTAGTGTTTTCAGCAGTGGGACAATAAATGGATTTTTATTCAAATCTTACAATAAAAAGTGGTAACAGAGACGAGATGTTTGGAAAATAACAAATTTGCCCAAACCAATTTTAAAAACTTTGTTTTTTATGTGGTATACCGGCCAATTTTTTCAAAATGGCTTCCAAATTTGGTAATAAAATGGCATTGTCAATATCTCGTAAGACATGACTTTTACTATGTCTTTTTATGGTTTTCGATGTCTCTGAATTTAAAAATAAAAATCTATCAAGGCGCGGACCTTCCATATAATAATCTATCTGCATACAAAGTTTATGAAAATACACATTTAAACAACATTTAAATATGGTCTACCACCTTTAGGACTCACCCTTCAACCTAAAAATAAATATGGTCTACCACCTGTAGGAATTTCCCTTCAACCTAAAAATAGATATGGTGTACCCCTTGTAGCACTTTCCCTTCTACCTAAAAATAGACCGTTTATCGGAATTTTTGATTAAACGTAAACTTTCTTGTATAAAATACTTGACTAATACACCAGTTGTTAATTTGTAACACATTCATATCTTTCTACATGACCTAACAATAAATTGTTCATTAGATAATACAGAATTTAACACTTTATCTTTCTACATGAACTAACAATTCATTGTTCATTGGATAAAAACGGAAACATTTTTTTATAACTGTAAAATAATATACGAATTATCATTTTATATGGCGTATTTTTACTGATAATCAAATTAATCATATAATGTGGGAATTTGAAACACGTTTTAACATCCTATTTTCCCCTCCTTTTTCTGGGATGAACTGAAAAGATGGATGGTAGTTTCAAGGAGTCCCTACACTAGTTAATGTGTAGTGATGCATTTACGTCGTTTTTGATGAATTGTTGAGATATATGCATAACCTAAAACCAACAGGATATATTTTTGAAAGCACCATTTACAGCCAGAAACGAAATTTCGAGCCTGGTTAAAGAGAACCCTGTCGTTCCCCTCACGGAGCAAAGACCAGTCCGTCCCTAGATCATATAAGTATTGTCTAGTGTCCATTGCTGACAAAAAACAGTATACAGTGGCAAATGCAAGAACTTGTCGTGAAATGAATAACAGAAATGTGGTTCTCTCCTACCCAGCCCAAAATTTCTTTTGAAAAACTCACTGTAAATGATGTTTTCTATAGTATGTCCTATTGTAATATTACAGCCCTAGAAAAGGGCATCTTAATGAATTGTCACCATATAATGACTATCAAATTATTGAAATAAAATTGAACCATATGTTAGTCCCAAAATGACCTATTTCTCTCTCTCTCTCCATATGATGACAATCAAATTATTAATCAATCATAGTAGTGTTGGCTAACAGTGCACATTCTAATTGTTTACTTCGACATGTCACTTGGACAGTGTTTATAAAATTTACAAGGTTTCTTTTTAAGGAGAAATGAAATCTGAGAACTAGAATCCATGGCATCTGACAGACAAGTTGAATCTAGAATAGACCAAACTCTTTTTACATTCCCTTGTCCTTTTAAATCAGAATTTGCAATCAAAAGTCTGCTCCGTTGCACTATATTCTCACATAACAGCTGTGCGGCTATCATTCAGAGCAGTGATGTATGCATTTTCTGTCAGCCACACTTTGTCTGCTTGAAAAGAAGAACAAGCACTTGCGCATTTATTATCTATTGTAAGCTTGACGTTTCATTACATATTTTTACAGTCAAACATCTAAAAATCTTTAATTGTTGAAATAACAAAAAGCAGGATGCTCCCACACTGAGAATCGATACAATATGAGCAGGAATCTATATAGATTTTTCGATAAAATGGCGTTATGAGCCAATAAGAATGATTAATTGAAAGGCAACCCATTCTAATGAATCGATCATAACAATATTGTGTGCTTGCATACAATATCCTTATTTCGGGAGACAAATTGGTTTGCATAGGTAAAAATAAATAACAAGATTTGTACTGAATTAAAACCGTAATAGTTTTTCAAAAGTAGAACTAGGATATGAGTCATAATTCTCCACAAACTACGTGCAGCATCGTGAGACACCAAAAATCAAAAATGCCACAGGATGTTCAATTAATGAAACCTGCTCAACTAATGAAATTTTTCAATCATTATAATGATTCTACACGTCTGCAAACTGGGGATTGAAAAGTCGAATAATTTGTTCAAAAAGTTCCTGAAATCTTACACACATGAAAAAAATATTTACACGCATCTGTACTGGTGCGTAAAACGAGGAAACGTTGTGCATATATCTGGTTAGGGCTAAATGATAAGGGCAGCTCAATTTTTTTTCATAGATCACAAAATGTAAACAGGGCTAGCGCTAATCCCAACCCTAACCCTGGACCTAGCTCCAATGCTTACCCTAACCCTAACTTACAATCTCGCCTACAATCTCGCCAACAATCACGTGCCCTAACCTTATGTACATCTCAGTGGCGACCTTGACAAAAATTGAGCTGGCCTTAACAAATAGATTTATCCACATTTATCTTTAATATAATTATTTTTTTGTATGAACAAAATACCTGCTTTCTTCATTAAAGTCTGATATCTTTCTTTTGATTAAGTTACCATCTTTACCCCATTCATATATTCACAATTTCGTTCTTAGTATTTCAGCAGACATGAATTTTTTAACCGTTTTATGTGAAACAAAAAAGATGCCTCTTTGCCTTTCCAAATTCCATAAAAACATGATGTTAGAAGAACACAGAAAAACACAAAGGGATATTTGTGTATATTTTTCACATAAAACTTCCAAAAAAGAAAATATATTTCTTTTAAGCACGTCTGCTTCTTACGTCCATTGTAAAGTTAATTTGTTGAGGCTGTCAATTACCTGTTTAAAACTGCAGAAATAAACTAATTTCCAGAATAAAATTTGAATAAACTGAAGCCAATAAACGTAGTTAATTCCATACTCGTCTGAGAATAAATGTCCTTACAGCCGCCTTTCAAGGTTTCCATGCATAAAAAACATGTAAAAGCTATGATAGGATATTGAGAGATGAATACTCTAGAAGAACATGACAATTACATCGAAAAAGTTGATAGATCGAGGATAAAACATATAGCAGATCAACAATGTCATCTCCAAATCCAAAAAAAAATTATCCATTTATATTCGGTTAGAAGGCCAAGTAGTAATTGCATTAGTAAAACCATGGAAAATTTGCTTGACAAATGATTGACAATTCAAGTTTTACAATGACAAAAATACACTCGAAAGCCATCTGTGTTTCGGATCCCTGAAATCTCTGCAAAAATCTCGAAATCTTAATTAATTCAGTTCACTGGTTTCTTGGAAATTCTTTTTGTAGCTCAAAATACATGAATACCTCAATGCAAATTGAAGTTTTATTTTATATGTGTCAGCAATTGCATCATTCAAATTCATCTGGCTTCCAGTAATTGATAAAAATAATTTGTTTGACTTGAATTTCATGAAGCGGTTGCGATGATACAAAACATTAAGGACAAAGCCAATAGAAAATGGCCAATAATCAAAACCAAACTAACATAGCAAGAAATTTGAAATTCATTCACTATATAAAACAAAATCCCATGAAAGATCTAAAAGGGAATTTCTTTTCTGACTTTCAGATGGCTGTTTCCCTTGACGATCGTCACATGGAGGAAATGTAGAAGCAGGTGAGTGGCTACAAATTAGTTCTTGATAAATGAGAAGAAAACTTGGTGCAATATCGCTCATTGGTATTACAATTCTCTTAGATCAATCTTCATCGGTATCTAATGACAATACTTCAACCATTTCAACAATAGTAAGTCAGCCACACATTGACAAGCTAGTAGATTTGGTGTCTGGGCCATTCGGAAATTCTAACACCAAATTTCTGTGCCGTTTCTAAAAAGGAGATATATTTTTGAAACGAGAGAGAGAGAGAGGAATTGGTCCAAAAATGGGTCTGATCACTATATACAAGGAATGATTAACACAAAATTCTGCAAAGTCTTTTAATCAAAAAATATGAGACATCATTTTTAAAATATATTAAAATTGATATATCTAAATGTTTCAACATAAATTGTATAATAGTCTACCAGAAACATAATAAGTTTCCACGTGTAAATAAAACTCTACTCAGAAAGAAATATTTAAATCATTTTGATGTAATTTAATGGTCAGAATTTATGAAATGAGCTTGCAGCTACTTTTTAAGACCACCATCACCCAGCTTTAACCCTAACCAGTTAGTTTCTATTTAAACTGTGCACTAACATCAGTGGCCAAAATGTCCGTCTACAGATTTTGCTAACATTCAAGTAATCTGACATATTTATGGATTTGTTGCCATAATTTCTACATCATCATCCCCCATTCTGTATCGCAAACTAGTATTTTCCTTCATTGAGGACAATTATCTGAATAGAAAGTTCAACAAGAACGATTTTTTTAATGACGCAATATGTCGGTATAAACAACCTAATCGGGTAACACAAAAACCCATTTATAGCTCCTGTTATTCACTACCATCATAACATACAGCATCAAAGAAAGGGGTGAACTTTGGGCAAATTAGCACTAATTAAGCGTTTTAGCAACAAATAAACATCTTGACCTTTCAATAACGAACGATAATAACGTATTAGGCTCTGTGGAAATTGGTCATATTATCATCACAGACGCATTACACCCTTGGCTGATGTCTGATCTCGGAAACTTATGAAAAAATAATGCTTACAGTGTGCTTTGCGGTGGCTGTGGGCTGTGGGTTTTTAGGCAGCTGACGTTAGGATACTATTAAAGAGTTGTAATATTTCGTAGTAAACAAATGTCAAGAAAATAAACTAAAGCAACAATGACAAGAGAATTAGATACGAATGATATTTACAAAGAAAAGATAGATCTGGTAGTCAATTCTGCGATTGTTTTTGATTTATTAGCACCTTCTGTCGACAGTCATATCATCATTTTACCGACATAGTATTATTGTTATACTAGTTAAATATACGTTTATTATGATATACTATATGGTACTAATAGGCGAAACTAACATATCTACAAATTACATTTTCCTCGACATAGTATTATTGTTTTACTAGGTAACTATACTGACGTCCAAAAGAAAGTATACACACTAAAAGTATGACTAAGTTTTGTTTAGATTTAAAACATTTGATAAAGCATTACTGAGTTTGTCTCTTGTGTCCAAACTCAATATTTGTAAGCAAAATAAAAATGTGAAACAAATTGACATTCTACCCTCATACCGTATACCATGGAAAAACGACTTTGGTTGATGCAGCACAAAATGCACGGTGTATACTTTCTTTTGGACGTTAGTATATATGTGTATGAAGTATTGTTTAATAGTCAAGAGCGAGACATTAAGTAATATATTGTAACAACAAGAGGGCTGTGAGGCCCGAGTGTTTTTACAATTACGCAATGTCTTAAGCTCGAGACCATTAAACGACTTAAAATACAGACACTCCGCACATACTTTTATAGTGAAATATGTCACAAGAGTCCAATATTTCACTAGTATAAATAATGTACAATTGGCAAGTTGCCTGTACGATTATTTGAAATAATTGTATGCCAACATCAAAGGGTGACGTCACCTCTGTATTTTAAAATATACTATAAGGTAGTATTATTGTTATACTAGGTAAATATACTATAAGGCTAAATATACCTGTATTATGATATACTATAAGGTACTAACAGGTAAAACTCTTGATAGTATCTAGATACTAATATATCTACTATTTACATGGTAGGTATATTTAAATACCTGTTGTCAATGATAAACAGGTATATTCAGATTATTAGTACTAAAACATACACTGGTTATATCAACATGGACTACTTGTTACGGTCATCTTATGATCGTGGAATCTGAGATAAAATACCACAAATTAACCATACTATAACAAAGTTAACAGACAGAGAGAGAGAGAGAGAGAGAGAGAGAAATGGGGTTTAACGTCCACTCCACACAAACTAGATCATTTCGGGACTAACATATGGTTTAATTTTATTTCAATAATTTGCTTGCGCGTAGGGGTCTTTAGCAGTGGGAGGAAACCGGAGGACCCGGAGAAAACCCACGAGATTGGACAGGCGACCCTACTCCTTGTCACGTACAACCGGGGATTCGAAACCACGCCAGTTGACTCAATGACAGACTTTATGGTACAGCGCACGCGTGCTAACCATTCAGCCAGAGAGAGAGAGAGAGAGAGAGAGAGACACTGTAACAAAGTTAACAGAGAGAGAGAGATGCCTGTCCAACCTCATGGATTTTCTCCTGGTCCCACTGCTAAAGACCCCAAAGTGCAAGCGAATTATTGAAATAAAAAAAAAAAATGAACCATATGTTAGTCCCAAAATAACATAGTTTGTGTCAAGTGGCCGTTAAACCCTATTGCTCTCTTTCTCTCTCTAAAATATACTAAGATGTTGACCATGCAATATTCTAGCCGAGGGGGTTATGGTCAGTAATTTTTCAATACCAGGATCCAAGAGGTCACTACTAATGATATAATTTACTTTCCAACCAAAGCTTGGCACTATAATGTTGGATAATGCGGCAAGTCAGTTTTTCATTTAGTTTTACACTCATAGTACTATGAGTAAATTGCCTAGTAATCATGCGACGCACTCGCTGTAATGAAGAAAGACCAGAAGAAAAGATTGCCCTCGACCAAATGTCATCCTCCATTATATTCGGTACTCAGACCATCTCAACCTTTCTATACTAATGCATCTTGTGGCAGACGACACCTCTTGACTTTTGACAGGAAACCAGGCTTGTGGCAGACGACACCTCTTGACTTCTGACGGGAAACCAGGCTTGTAGTACCCTTCAGTGAGTGACTGAAATGATTTTAACCGAAATACATGCAAAAACAGTCCAAAAGTCATAAAAAAAGTCATCAATTTAGCGAAGTTTGCTCTGTTCCCCATCCATTATCACTGTAACCCGAGTATCATTTAACCCTATCTAGCACTAATTTCTTTCACATTCGTTAAATATCAAAAATTTGTGCTAGATACATAAGATTAAATGATACCTGGGTTACAGTGTATTTTACCAATGAAATAGGCATTGAAATGGAGAAACGATTACAGGGAATCCTAAATACCCCTGTTAGATTTACCTGTTGGATTGAAGTAGGGTACTCATAATTCAATACACAGATTGTATTCATACCAGGGGGTTGGATGGCCGAATGGTTAGCATGTGCATGTTGTATCATAAAGTCTGTCATTGAGTCAATTGGCATGGTTTCGATTCCCTGGTTGTTTGTAACAAGGAGTAGGGCCATCTGTCCAACCTCCAAGGGTTTTCTTCGGGATCCCCCGGTTTCCTCCCACTGTTAAAGAATTATTGAAATGAAACTGAACCATGTGTTAGTCCCAAAATGACCATAACCCCTTCTCTCTCTCTCTCTCTTTCTCTGTATTCATACCAGGACTCAAAAGAGAGATTTATTATGAAGATATATTCTTAGTTTAACTGATATTGATCATTCAGATTGCAGTAGGATAATTAAATATGTGCAGATTGCATTGACGTTCCCAATTTTAGGTGGAAGACTGACAGGTTATGATGAATATATGTTTTTGTTTGTAATAGATATCTATAAATAATTGACATGTATGTAAATAGATAACTGAGAAAAATAACACAATTTTAAGAATTTGGATAGATAATACTGTCAACAGGATTTCTGAGTTTTTATATCTTAATGATCAGATTAGGTTTCCAGAGATAAAATACAAAATTAAAATCATATGATACATGCATGACTGTTTGCCTTGTTCACACACTAAAAAAAATATCTTTGAAGAGAGAGAGAGAGAGAGAGAGAGAGAAAGATTAACATACACTTGACACAAACAAGGTTATTTCGTGACTAGCATATGGTTCAATTTTATTTCAATAATTCGCTTGCGGGGTCTTTAGCAGTGGGAGGAAACTGGAGGACCCAGAGAAAACCCATGAGGTTGCACAGGCGACTCTACTCCTTGTCACGTACAAGCAGGGAATCGAAACCACGCCACTTGACTCAATGGCAGACCTGCTGATACAACACACACGCATTACCATTCGGCCACCCAACCCCCCTTGAAGAATAGAACCGAGTTCATTATGTATAAAAATTATATAAAGGTGAAATACTAAAAACTTTTTTTTTTCGCATTGTAACAAATTATAAAGGTAATATTATATTCAATATATCTGACATGTAATTTATAAATTTATATCTTTCAAATTGTCACGGTATTAATTCTTATTTTATACAGGTGATACAATAGATTCATCAGACCTTTTAATTTCTAAATTTATTTTCTTTAAAGATACATTATGTAAGGGCTGACCATTCTTGCTATAATAGCTCAAAAATAGATAATGTAAAATGAAAATATTGAAAATTTCATTCAAATCACTTCATTATGAACCAAGAAGTTATCACTGTTTGTAGTTTTAACAAGATGTGTGCATTGTGGTAACCAGGGCACTGGTATATTCGAGACTTAGTCTCGATTTCAAATTTTTAAATTAAATTTTTAAATGGCGAACTGTTCTAATCTAGTTAAAATCTGGAGTATCCAATGCCATTGAGCGTTGATTATGGTCTTGTTTTGTTAATAAATATCTAATTAATAGTTTAGATAA